TAAAAATGATGAATACATCTAAATTTTTTCCATAATTTTAGTTAATTTTGAATGCACTACATAGTTGAATGCATTTTCGTTATCTATGAAGCATAGAAAAGTATATTTTTCCGAGCAATTTTAAACTAAGAGTATGTTTTCCATATCTTAATTACTTCGCAAATGTTCAATGGTATTTTAAGTGAAAACATGTTATAAGGTTTACAAGTTGAATAAAGCTTCAAATGCTTCCATTGCTTTTACAAGTCGGATTAGATACAGTTCATGATTTTTTATTGTTCATTTAATGATTGTGCAAGATTTTTGGATACATTTTAAAGACAAAACTTACAAAAGTTATTAGTCGATATTCCTTACATTTGCTACATCTGATCAGTTCCATTACCAATTTCATTATAATTACAAGGTATTTGAAAATAGATGGTCATATAATTACAAAAGTAATCAGTACTGCACAGCTGTGATTGTAACTAACCTTTCGGATATCTTTCATTCTCGTAAATTTTAATGCCTTTAACATTCAGATGTGATGTATCTTTTAAGACCAAATAATTGTAATTTTGATAAGTAAATGTTTTAACTAAACCTTATTATTAAACATTTAGATTAAATTTAATTTTTTTTTTATAGAAAAAGACATCTTTACATTTGCACTGAAAAAGTGTAGTAGTAGTATTTCAGCTTTTTTTCCTTCATTTTAAATTTGTTGTATTACATAGAAATTTATAACAATTATATTATATATATAAAGCTATGGCATTTTAGCCGTCGACCGTGTACTGAAATGTATATCAATTTTTACTATTTTAATAGCAATTTGTATTGTATACAGTAACTTTAAAGTCAAGTTTCAGAAAAAAATGAACTAATTCACGATCATTTTCATGCTTAAAATTAATATGATTTATTACTAAATTTATTTTGATAACCTTAAGCGTGTTTATAACGCTAAAAAGATTTGCTTTGGACAGATTCCAGACAATTAGCAAAGGTTCAAAAACATACTCAAGTCAATTGGTGCCAAGATATGCGTAAAAAATACAAAAATTGTTCTTCAAATGATGCGTATAAGACTACAACCGATGATTGATTATGATTCTATTTGTATAAGCTTTACATTAAACTGAATGGATGTCCCAAATATAATAACACTTTTTCGTTTTCGAAATAATTCATAACGAATTCCTGATATAGAAACCCAATTATATTGTCTCGGTTTCACACATTATAAGACAAATTGAGTGGGTAGCAATTTTGCTACCTTCAAAAACTATATTTCGGAAGTATCTCAAGTGGAATATATATAAAAAATAACAAACCAATTTTCTATTATAAAATTACATGTTTTTATCTATAGGCTCAAAATAACAATGCATGATAACCTTCCTTGATATTTGAAGAGAAAATACTTTTTTACTATCCCTTTTATGCTTATCTTTTATAATAAAATAACTAGGATTAATACAAGTAAACATTTCATATTCTAATATTATTTTTATTTTATTGTTATACCCGATATTATTAACTTAATAAATAAAACAATTTGAAAACATTTAATATTGTCAGTAAGAGAATGATTTAAGAATTAAGTCCCAAAAAAATCTATTATTTAATTGATATAATAGAAAACAATACATAAATGTAATAGTTTCGGTGTGATATACATTGTATACAGATGTTTATACAAACTCAAGTTCTTTATTCTAGGCTTCGGTATTTTCAGTAATATATAAATATTTAAATATGATCCCAGATTGTAAATAAATATTTGACGTACGGATATACTTGTTATTCCAATATTTTATTTAGATCAGAATATTTAAATTTGACTAAATGACATCAAAATAAATATACTTCAATGAATTTGTGTCAATTTATTTATTGTTCGTTATTAGAAATAATTACATAAAGTATCTATCGTTAAGGATGTGAAACTTTTAAATACTTAACACTTCATATATTTTGGTTTCAATGTTTTTGTAACGATATATTTTAAAATATATTAAAATCACATTAAGAGATGCGAAATATGCCAGATATTTAAAAAAAATGCAATAAATCTCAATATATTTCAGATACAAATAGTTTAAGATGCACACAATTTTTGGTTGATCCACATTTTAATGGCATATTTATTATTTTATTCTTTTTAAATTCTTTATATTATATATGGAATCCACACAAATATTTTAAGAGACTTTTGAACACAATTAATTAATTTTTAATTTTGACACACAAAAATAAATTTTATTATAGAACTGTAGAAACTCACTTGTTAATTGACTGCATATGCTTTTCCGGATTGATATTTTATTTAATTTTCGTTTTCAACTATTTTAAAATAATAAACTAACAACCACTTTACTCTATGTCGGTGCATTTCGAAATGAAATATTTTCAATTTACGGCAACAAAATTGGTTTCCTGTTAAATGCCATGCAAGGAAAAAAGTATCAATTGAATGACAAGTCTTTCGAAACTAAAGGGCCGCTCCTCAAATTTCTTTGCCTTGTTGCTGTCTTCTAAGTATAAAATAATTAAAAATATTGTAAAATTGTATCACCTTCATTTCATTGGCAACCTTTTGGCGGATAATGAGAAAAAAAAAATTGTGGCATTAAGAAAAAAAAATGTTGCTAATGGCAATTGACCATTTACGGAGTATCATAAAACGCAGTGATTGAAGGAAAAGGAAAAAGGAAGAAAATTTATACTAAACATAAGAATTTTATTTTTTCCATCCAAAAATCATCGCAATTTCTATTTTCATTGGGAAGGGTTTATACTTTCAACATTTGTAAGAAAGTGACATCAGTTTTACTTTGAGATAATTTTGAAGAAAGAAAAAAAATACGATTAAGGTTACTATGCAGATGACAGAATTGATTTAAATTTAATGAGTAAATAAATTTTTACATTACTATGTGAAATGTTAATTATGTTTTATATACAATATATCTTTGTCGGGACAAGTATTCGCTTATTGATTAAGAACTACATTAAAATTGTTGGACTATGAAGTCTTAAGCATGATTTGTGTTCATTTAGGAAAGTAAGCAAATCGAGTTAGTGTAGCATAATCAGGTTTAGTGCTAAATTTTATTTTTGGGTTTAACTGACTGACTGAGTGGCATGCTTAGCCCAACTAGCCCTAATTCAAAAAAAAAGCTCATAATTGTTTTTTTATTTTAATTAAAATAATAAAAAAAATATGGATTTTATTTTGAAATGGCACAAACTCGTGGTTTAATACAAAAAAAAAATCATGCGAAAAATTTTTCATTTTTAACAATAATTGATGTAGAGAAGAGTTTCTCAGACTTCTTTATGGTAGGTTCCACTTAAGAACTTAAAAATGCATATGTCTCCTTTTATATAACAAATACAAGAAGCGTTTGGAAAAGGTACCAAAATCAATTAAGCATTTGTTCCTTTTTACACTACGATCTCTATTCTTGACCTTTCCAAAAAAAGATCTTTATGTTTTTATTTTTATTTTTGCGATGTTTTTTAAATAATTTTTTTGCAATTTTTTTTATTTAATAATAACATATTAAAATATTTAATAATACTAGTGTTGAGTGTATTTTGTAAAATCAAATCAAACAAAGGTTACAGTCATGATAACGTTAGTGTTCCAATTATGATATCTGAATACATATACATATACCTATTATTATTGTTACTATTGTTCCTGTTATTATTATTGTTCCAATAATGATATCTGAGTTATATGTATTATAATTGTTACTATTATTATTTTAAAATAAAAATGTTATGTTATAAAATTGTGTATAGCGTATCGTTATCTATCTATAACTCTAACGTAATAAGTTCGAAATTTATAGACGCTCAAGTGGATTTAAGTTCAAAACTTTTGATTATTTTTCATTTATTTTCTTATACTTTTTCTTTATTTTTTGGTAGTCAGTTCGTTATTATTTTAGAAACTTTATTTATAAATAAGTTTTGTATCTACTCTGTGTTGATTTTTTTATCACTATTCTCAGGAGAATTATTTTCAGTTTTTTTCATCTAGGCGTATGAGTAACGAAATCTTAAAACATATCTTATAACATATCTTGTGGGGTTCTTTATACATTAAAGAAATGTAGTTATTGAAGTATTATAGTATTGGTAGAAAAATTTGCGTTGCATTCTGTGTTTGGAGTTACTATTATTTTAATAATAATTATCATAGATACAACTAAAGAGTATGGCAGAATAAAAAACCTAGGACGAACTTACTTTTATCCAAATAGACTAGAAGAAAAAACCTCATTACCAATTAAGTTCAATACAATTTCATTTAATTTTGCTATAAAAGGAATTTCTAGCAATAAAAATCATCGAGACAGATTGTGTGCTTATATACATGTCCATACATGTCCATTGATAATTGAAAGATTACATTTATAACAATGCACTATTATTTCAAGGATCGTCTTTTTTTTATGAAATATTACTTTAAATTTACTTTTATAATATTATATAGTTATAAATATTATATTATATTATTATATATATTTTATTATATTATATTTGAATATATTAAATATACATTGTATTTTATTCTTAGTATATTATATATTATGAGCATATAGATATTTAAATTCAATATAATTTTCTTTAATAATATATTTCAATTTAATTGTATTTACAAAAACGTATTAATTTCAATCATTAGTCAATGCATATCAATTCACTTAAATAACTTTCTACGATGATTTTTTATATCAAAAACAGTATTCCATAGAAACGTATTAAATAACAGAAGGACACGCGACACTATTTATGTAGACAATTTGATTAAAAATGTGAAACTATTTGAAAAAATCACTAAATACACAATCAAAAACATATTAAATCAGGTTTTATTATTTACACTTTGCCATTGAGTAATTTTATTAGAAAAAGGTGTGTTGTGCTAAGTGTAAGTATTATTCCAAAAACAAAAAAAAAAAATATATAAACCAATTTAAAGGAGAGGTAAAATAGATTTAAAATAGTGATAGTACAAAACGGTAATAAGTTTTATATAAAATGCTTACCTCATCACAGCCAGCACAGCGTGGTTTTAACATTTCCGCATAATGACGTTCACAATAGATTTTATCTTCATGGACACAATACGTCAAATCCACCAATAATTCGTTACACGTGCTGCAAGTAAAACAACGTGGATGCCACATAACACTCTCCACAAATTTCGGCGCAGCCACAACCATTTCTCCAGTTGCAATTTCACCATCGCAATGTGCGCAATGCTCATCGTATGGTGCATCCTTTATATAACCTGAAGTATATATATATGTTAAATAAAGATATTTAATATAATAAAATAAAATTCCTATATTATCTTATTACCTATATCTAAGGCAATTTCATTTCGTGCAGTTACAAAATCTTCAAATGAAGCTTCATGCTGTTCTTCTAAATGTTTACAATGCTCCAGCGATAGATCTTGTTTCGGTAATTGATATGAGATCTGTTGTTCACGATAGCGTGCGCCTTCAGTTCCAATTTTAGGTATTTTATCTTGTGGAATTTGTTCAAAGTAACGATTAATACGCGATGAGGCGCGTATACCTGGTGGTACCCATGTATAGCCTAGATCGCGTGGTTCTACACCAGAATCTGCAGGTGATACTACTTTGAAACCCAAACGTTCCTGCACTGTTGTGGTTTGCTGTTGGTAAATTGCATGTGCTTCGCGGGGACATTTGCAGGATTGGCAAGTTTTTCTACAAAAATAAAAAACAAAATACACATTAATATATTTATTTTAAATATTTATATTAAATATCTCTGCTAAATGTTTTAAAAAATAGATATTTTGAAATTGGGTTAAGTTTTAATATGGATTTAAACGTTTAAAACTTTATGTTAAACCTTATACCCTAATCTATCTGTATTCTTTTTTTTATAATAATTTTTTTGTGAAGTATTGAAAGTTACATATTAATTTATATTTATAAGTAATTTATATGATATTTTTTATTTTTTTAGGAAAATTTCATTTTTAAATTTATTACTTAATTTCATTTACGATAGAACTGTAGATATATAATATTCATTATACATTTTTTGAAAAAATTATTATTTTAGTAATAATATTTTCCTCAATAATGATTAGTATAAGTAATTTATATGATATTTTTTATTTTTTTAGGAAAATTTCATTTTTAAATTTATTACTTAATTTTATTTACGATAGAACTGTAGATATATAATATTCATTATACATTTTTTGAAAAAATTATTATTTTAGTAATAATATTTTCCTCAATAATGATTCAGAATTTTCCAATCAAAAACCAAGTTTAATTGACTATTACTTTCATACTTATTTAAATTCAAGGATGTGTTAAGTATAAAATTGAAGAAAACTTAATGGACTAAAGAATTTTGATATACAATTTTAGATGTTTAGGTTAGCCGCTTTGAGATAATATTTTTGGACTATATGTGATTGTTACAAGCAGAGGTCTTTTAAACACCTTATATATCACATAATATTGAAAATACACCACCCCCAGAGTAGGAATTCGTACGTATCTTGAACTAAATAAACATCTTACGTATATTTATGCTGAATAAATCACAAACACACTGTATATATCTATTATTAATATTTGCAATATTTCAGCTTCATGCTTATATATAGTTCAGGAAAAAATATAACATTAACATAACAATAACAGAATGTTAAGTAAAATCTCATGATAACATTATGTTAATGGAACAATAAGCTTTTTGGTCTAAAGCTTTTGAGATAAAACCTCTAGCGGCACATTATGAAGTTATTCGTTGTCTTGAAAGGAAAAAAATAAATTTCAAATTTGCGCTTTATGATTTATATATAAAATAAATGATAATTATAAGACTTATTAGATAACATATCTATTATAAGTCTATTGGCATTTAAATAAAGGTATTAAAATAAATGGACAGTATATGTATAGTATCTTTTGAATATTGTTATCTTGAATCTTGAATACCTTGAATATTGACGATATTGCTGATATTGTCAAGAAAAAGTTTTGATAATATCTTCTAGCTGCTAATTTAGAGAATTAAATAATCATTAGAATAATTAAAAAAATATGACAAATCAAAAGAGTAACCATTATGGATTACAAATAAATGATATAAAATTAATATCTAAACGTTTATCATTAACCTTCATTATTAATGACTGTTTAAATTAACGTATAGAGTACTTAAAGTATTTACGTTCGTCGTTTGCTCATATGGAGTCCCGATAAGGAAAATAGGTACTAAATAAAAATAGCCAAAAATATTTTTTTTAAAGGTACTAACTAACTGGGAATTTAATACAAAACTAAGAATGAAATATATGAAATACAAATATACAATATGTATTGTTTTCAATACGTTGCAAAATGTATATCGGAAATGTGGCTTGGTGAAGGTCTACATTAAACGAAATTAACATTAACGCAGGGTCGTGTAGAAACACTGTGAAGGAAGTTTTGACTCATATCTAGATGTAATTGCTAATAATAATAGTAATATCAATACTATTATTTTGATTGTTATTTTTTTTATTATTATTATTTTTATTGTTATTTTTATTATATTATTAAATTATATTTAATATATTCCAAAAATCGAATGTTTCTGCTGTTACTACTTTCTAGTCCCTTAGATATTTTATTTTGGTGTATTTATGTTTTAAATAAATAAATAATAATATTGCTTCAAAAATTTTACTATATACTATATAATAAAGGTGTTCTTAATAAAAAACAAATTTTAATTTGTTATCTGAAAACTATATGTACACTGCATGTATAGAATTTATAGCAGTTTGTGAAATTTTATCACTTTTAGGGACACAAACCTAATCAAGTTGCAAAACCGTCTCATTTAAAATGTTAGGCAAAAATTTTATAACAGGTTATCAAGTAATGATAAACTTTATATACAAATCACGTTATTTAATGAAGAATAAATTCATTCTATTAAACAAATTATTCTATTCATCCACAATTTTCTGATAATATACCATACCAATTTTTGTTTTACTTCATTTATTATAATAAAAAATTTTTACCTAAAAACAAAAAAAAATAAAAAGTTTATCCCATCATTTAGTAAATGTTTCGAATTTAATATGCCCAAAAACATTTCATTTATAGCGAATTCCTTTTAAAATATCATTAATACGTAATATTTTTGTAACATAAATTTTTACGACTTTGTGAAGTGACGTTCACAATGTGAAAATTACATACACAACTTAAACACTTTTCCCTTTAGTAGGATAGATGAAAAATTCTTACCTTACAATGAGATCATAAATTTCCTTCTTGTCAAACACTTTACAGTAGGCATGCAAGACATTGAGGCAGGCATAGCGGACCCCAGTCCAGGGTACAGACGATGACGCCAATGCCTCCCACAATGGACAATCAGCATGACGATCCAAGTCAAGCATTTTCACCATTTTACGCTTGGTTTAAAGTTTTTTATAATTTTCTCTTATTTAAAACAAATCACATTTAATATTTTATACTTTTAATTTTATTTTATCACAACAATTGAGGGTTTTAAAACGTTTTAGTTCAATTTGATTGTGGTTCGCTAAAAAATTTAATCATTTTATATTTAAATTAAGCAAAAAACAGCGCGATTAATGTTTTTATCTGCGGAAAACGTACAAATTTTGTGGTGCTGATGCTGTGTGCCATCATAAAATTTGAAGAATCTTAATTTCAGTATTTTTTATATGTTTCTTTAAACCCACTTTTTGAACTCTTTGTTTCTAATTCCAAAAAGCAAAAAGTATAAAGTTGTTAATTTAATCGCCACAAGATTTTTTAATGAACTTGAACTTATTTTTTCAATACTTAATTTTTTAAATAGTTTTACATAAACAGAAATGAAGTGATTATTTAAATTTTATTGGATACAAAAAACACATAAAACCACCCACAAAATCGGTTGAATTGTTAAAAAAGTATTTTTGTGGTAAAAAGAATAAATAGTAAAAAATAAACAGAAAGAAAATAATTTTTTTGTTTGTTTGTCGGATAAACTACGCATAATTGAGTTCAAGCATTTTTGTGAGTTTTTCAAATGCACATGATATGCAGTTTTTTATACCCTTCATACACGCATATTGTTTATTAACTCTATTAAGGCATTTGTAACACATTAAATGAGATTTTATAAAGTACCAAGCACCCAGTATTTTATGAAATTATTGATCATATTCGAGTCTTTTTCGATTCCTTTTTCCAGTCCTCTGCCTGATCGAAAATAATTCTTTTATCGAGAGAAAATGGTACCCTACCCGCGACTTTTCTTGCAGAGTCTTCTACTATAATACGATTCTCTAATCGGTTTTCAAGTCGTATTTGTAATCATATTATAGTATGTCATACAATTTTTCACACATATTACACTCATAGCTTGAAATGCTTTGCAGAGTATTAGTATTTGATTTTTGGGGTAATCGAATACATTATTATTTTATTAATAATTATATAATTATAATAATTATGTAATTAACTTATATAATTATAATAATTATATAATTAACTTATACAATATAATAAAATAATCTCTTGATTTTTGATATTTCATAATTATTTTATTAATTATTAATAAAATATTTATTATTTTGACTTTTAGGAAATATTTATCAAACATTACCTGAAGTTGTCTACATCTAATTACATCTATTAGAGCTTTCATATTTATGGAACGATGAAAATTGAAATATATTTGCTATATATTGAAGTACATAATTGAGTTTATGAATATGATCATAATAATTATAATAATAATTTGTAATAATTCTTCATCGATACATTCTTCTTAGTTTGATTTAGATATGGCCTTTAACTCTCTCAATGAATTTGTTGTATATTTCTATACGTATTTCGGCAAATATTAGAAAGTCTCCTGATGAAGGTAAAAGCGAATTTGCCGAAATACGTATAGGAATATACAAAACATACGATCCAAATAAAAGTTAAAGTTCTAAATAACAAAACCGACTTCAAAATACTTTCGACGTAAAAACTTAAAACATTTAAACCAAAATTACATTATTTTACAATTAAATAAATTTATATAGCTGTGGTTTATGCGCTTCTAAATATAGCACGGTAAATACAATTGTCGTTTACAAATAAGTAGCAGAAGCTAAAAAAAAAATCTGAATTCAAATAATTCAGATAAGGTGTAAGAGTATAAGCTGGATTTGTGTGTTATCATGCTAATCTACGGTTAATATGAGACAGAATTCATTCCATTCCTGTAACTTGGATGCAATATTTATATATGGAGAATTGAAACATATATTGCCAAAGACCACTAATAATGAATAAAATGCCCAAGAATTTTTAATTAGAAAATTCAATTTTTGGATTTAAAAACTTTTTCACTATTATCACATATTATATTTGAAGACTAATTTCATGCTAAAGTATATATTATTAAAAATATATATTAAACAATATTTTAAAAATGTTTACACATTAATTGAAACTTATCGTATCCATAATTAACGAGACATCTTTTTGAGGCCACACATTTTCAAAATCAGTGTTCATAAATAGATACAATATGAACCGGAGAAAATACGTACTTATTTTATAAAGAAAATCTAATGATTAATAAAAAAAACTTTCAACATTATTTACATAAAAGAGTTACTTATATTAAGATATGTTTTACTTCTACAAAAACAAAAAAAAAATCCCTCAAC